TGCAAGGCATCTCCCCGGGAATGTGGAGTGTGCGCTGCTTGTCTGGCCTTGGCAGAGCTGCTTTAGGCAGGGCTTGTTTCCAGCTTCCCTCCTATTACAGGGCAAGGCCACCAATGTCTGGGGACACGCTTGTCACTGAGGCGCCCCGCAGGGTGTCCTGGAGGAGGGAAAGAACAGCCCCACCCCTGGGTGCCAGCTCTGAGGATGCCACAAGGTGTGAGGTGGTTTTATAAGGTTTAATATTTTAAGAGGTATTGAGACTAATGAATATAACAGTTCCGTAATTTAAATGTTTATTTATTTTTAATGGAAAGATTTTGTTTAAAAAGGAGCCATTTGACATGGAAATGTCAGTGAAATTTCTTACCTGCAAGGGAAGTGGACATTTTGTATTTAAGTAAAAATTATAATGTGCACATTTTAAGAATAAAGAAATCTGACATTTGAGAAACCGTGACAGTTCTTTTGAAATGTGAGATTCTGGAATGGGAACAGAATGGAGCTGGGCTCCTATCTACACTCCTATGGACTCCACTCTGGATTTCTAGGATTGCTTGTATTGAATCAAAGACACTTTTTGGAAGAGAGCCGGGAGTCAGATGGAAAAGTCAGCTGCAAAGTGGAGTTTAGATGACCTGCTTAGAGCAGAACCAGATGCAGCAGCTAAGAGCAGCACCCTGAGACACATACAGATGACACTATTTCAGCGTGTTCCCCAGGCACTCCTGCTTACGGAAGCCCCTGGGGGACCCAGCCCACCCCATAGCCACCCCACACACACTCAATTCAGTGTGAAGCAGGAGACGCGCAGGTTGCCCATGGCTAGCTTCTCCCAGGACCCTCCCACGGAGAGACCTGGGCAGCCCCTGCCTTGCCGGCCTTGGGCAGTGTGTGCTGAGCAGACCTCTCCACCGGGAATGCCTTCAGGGCTCCGGTACCTGGTCTCGGAGCTCACAGTCTGGAGTTGGAAGTTTCTGTCTGTGATCCTGCAGTGGCCAGAAGGGTGCTGGGTGCAAGGGACAGTACCTTGAGGGCGGCAGCAGCAGCAGTGAAAGGCCTCTGACGTCTGCAGGGGAGAGCCTCCGCCCCAGGTCCAGTCCCCCGCAGCCTGGGTGCTCCCTGCTCTCCAGAAGGTTGTTGAGGGTCCAGCGGGCAGGGTTCAGCGGTTTCCAGCCCGGCGGCACCTCAACCCGCTTGCTGCGAAAGAGGAGCCTCCCGGCCGGGGCGGAGCCAACCGGCATGGCTGCCCAAGGCGATGGCCGCCGGGACCGACCGGGTCCAGTCCCGCCAAACCCAGCGTGCTAGGGACGTGCGCCGGACTGGGCGGGGGCCGGAGGCGGGGACAGGGGAGGGGCGGGGGACAGGCGCCAAAAGGGCTGGGGGCGCGCGGATGCCTCCTTCAGCACCGCGGACAGCGCCGGCCCAGTGCTGGAGTCTGCCCCGCGACGCTCCGGGTTCTGCGGAGCTCCAGCCCTCCGTCTACGCCCACTCAGACCCGACCCGTTACCGCGATGCTGCTGGAAGCGGAGTTCGAAGGCGACCGAGAAAGGCCAGGGGTTCCGGCGGCTGCTGCCCTCTGCACCTTTGTCGGGACGCAGGGTAAGAGCTGCGGAGAGAGAAGCAACTAGGGCGGCCGAGGCGGGTGGAGGGGCCGCGGGCCACGGGTGCAGCAGGGAGGGCTGCAGGGAAAGTCCAGGGAGACCGGGGAGGCACTTTGAAATGGCAACAGATTGGGAGGGAAGCCGAGGGTGGCCCGGGGAGCCTGGTGCTTGACCTGCAAATGGTGCCTGTGATGGAAGAGAGTGAGGGGCACCAGGTCCCCCCAGAGAATGAAGCCCTTCACTTCCCTTCTTAGCCCTGGCTTGCAGTAGGGGACCCCAGTCTTGGTGTCCCACCCCAACCGTCCTCTCCAAGGGCCATTCCAATGCCACAGACGTTGGAAATAATGGAGGCATTGTTGGTGGGGCCGGCCAGATGCCCAGCAGAAGGGGCCTTCCCTTCCCCAGGCCTGTCACAAATGGCCCTTGCCAGACCGCCTCTGCAGCAGCTGACACTCAACGGACCTCACCCCAGTGCACCAGACACCCACTCAGCTCCACACAAGTGTGTGTGCGCTGACCCTTCTGGAGTAACAGGTGTAGTACAAAGCAAGAGAGAGGTGGCCGGTGAGCCTGTGCTCACAACCAGGCATGCTGTGTGCTGGAGCTAGGACCGAGGGGCTGTGCTCTTTTATGCCCATCTTCCAGTCCTGTGCCCTTAGAGCTCGCAATTCAGAAGACTGAGTGGAGAGGGTATCACCATCTGACCCCCGGTAGAGGGACCTGGAGCTTCAACCCACTAGTTCAACCTACTGCTTCCCCAGCGCTTCCATCCAGGATCCTGCTGCCTGCCAGGGCCCCATGCTGTATTCTGTCTCTGAGTGACCGTACAGGGCTCAGATCCTGGTCGATGACCTAGGACTGTGGGCCCTCTGAGCAGAGGAAGGGATGTACACCAAAGGATACATGGGTTCCAGCTGGCTCACCTGTTTGCATTGGGAGCAGGATGCTGGAAAATCGGGTTCAGGGACTGTTCTTTGGTAGCCAGAGTGCTGGGGGCAGAGGAGCGAGGGGACATCCTGTACCTTTTCCAGCTCAGTCCCTCCTAAACCAGGGTCTCGGATGGGTTTCCAGGCGGAGGACAGGGGCCTGCTTCTCTCCTAAGAATCGCCTTCCTTCCAGTGCCCACGCCAGTGGGAAATTGCAGGGATGGGCGTAGAAGGTCTGGGGTCGCGGCTAGCTTCTTACTGTGAGGCCTTTGGCGGCCACGCTCACCTTCTCTGGGTTTCGGTTGCGCTTCCGCGGACCAGACATTGTCGCGAAGGCTCCCAGCTCAGATCTCGAGGCCGAATTTCAGCATCAGGAGAACCTAGCTCCCTCCCTGCCAACTTCTCCCAGAACCCCCAGCCCTTCCAGCGCTGAAGTGAGTCCAGCTGCGAGGCAGGGGCGAGCGCCTGCGGGCAGCCTTGACTCGGGTCCTCCCCGGCCGTCCCGGCTCTAGGGACAAGAACGCAGAGCGGTGCGAAGGCACCGTAGGTATGGGGCCAGGCGCACAGAGCCGGCGATCGCCCGGGGCAAGTCTCCGGGACCCCCGGCCCCGCCCCGCGGCGCGGCCCCGCCCCCCGGCCGCTCCGCCCTCCGCACCGCCGGAGGCTCGGGGCCCCGGGGCGGCCCGCCGGCGCAGCGCCCAGCAACGCGGCGAGTCGCTCGGACGCCGGCTAGGGGCCACTGCGTCCGCGGCCTCCCCGGACCCCGGGGAAGTTCGGGGTCAGAAAGCGGAGGTGCTGGGCGGCGGGCGCCATGGAGGCTCGCGGGGAGCTGGACCCGGCCCGGGAATCGGCGGGGGGCGACCTGCTGTTGGCGCTGCTCGCGCGGAGGGCTGACCTGCGCCGAGGTGGGTGCCCAGTCGAGCGGCAGCATCAGGGAGACCAGGAGGTCTTCGGGCTTTTCCCCTCTTGGCCACGGAGGCCAAAGGACCTGGGCCGGAGCGGGTGCGAGGGCCCCGGCACAACCAAGCCAGTGCATCACGGCGGCGGTCTGTGAAGGGCCCCTGGCGCTGTTGTCGGGCATGTGGTCCTCGGTCCAGGGTACCCTCGGGTGTCCAGGAATGGCTAAGAGGGCTCTTGGCAGTCCTTAGCCGCCCCTGAAGTGTAAGCGGTGTAGGGGCTGTTACCCGCCCAGTGACCACGGAGCAGGAGGGTCCCCCAGAGGGCCACCCTCGCCCAGACCCGACTTTCCAGGGGAGCGCAATCAGGCAAGAGCCAGGGTCGAGCTGATCGGTGTAATTTCTCTAATCTGGGTCTCTTCAGCCGCCCGCGCGGTTTGTCAGGACCCTCTGCAAGGAAAAGCCCGGCTTCTCTGGGGCCCCCGTCTCCTCCCGGCGCTGAGGCTCTCGGAGCCAGGCTGCTCTCTGCGCTCCAGGCCGACCAGAGCTCTGGGTGGGGAAGGCTGGGGAGGGGGAGTGGGAGGAACGGAGCGGGCCAAGGGGGCTACGTCCAGGCTGCGAGGTCGCTCCATCCCCTACTCATTCATTTATTTTCCGACGGTTCCCGGGAGAGGTTGGCCGAAGAGCCTGGAGAAGAGTGGGAGGCGCAGGGAGAGGAGGCGGGAAGGCTGGGCGCGCGAGGGCAGGGAGCGCTGGCCGAGACAGCGCTGGGACGGGCGCCGAGGCTCCGGGACCGCCAGCCTCAGGGGTGGAGACCGTGCCGGGGCCGGAGTCGCCATGCAGCGTAAGCCGAGGTCGCGGGGGCTCCGCGGGGGCTCCACTGCGGCTTAGCCGGGGCGCGGGGATGTGGGTTTGGCTTTTGTCCCACGCGGGCTCTTGCGGCTGCTTGGACGAGGCGCTGTCCGGACCGCGGTGCTGAATCGTGCTGCGCGGAGCCGATGTCCTCGGCTCCCTGAGGCTCACTGCTGGCGGTGAGGACCCAGGCCTCGCGGCTGCCGTTGCTGCTCGGTGACCAGGGCAGCGGTTTTGCCAGACGCGGGACGCCGGACGCGGTCCGAC